ATACCATACCATACCATACCATACCATACCATACCATACCATACCATACCATACCATACCATACCACTTCATATCACACCACATCACACTATTTCCTATCATACCATACCACTCCACACAATGCCATGCCATGCCACACCATACAAAATCATCCCAGACCTTATTATACCATACCACATCATACCATACCATACTACACCACACCACATCACACTATTCCATACCATACCATACCATACCATACCATACCACATCATATCATGCCACACCACATCACACTATTCCATACCATACCATGCCATACCATACCACATCATATCACGCTATTCCATACCATACCACATCATATCATACCATATCACACCACACCACATCACACTATTCCATACCATACCATACCACATCATATCACACTTCCATACATACCATACCATACCATACCATACCACACCACACCAGACCACACTTTTCCATACCATACCACTCCACACAATGCCATGCCATGCCATGCCACACCATACAAAATCATTTCACACCTTACCATACCATACCTTACCCTACCACAACATATCATATCATATCATATCATATCATATCATATCATATCATATCATATCATATCATTTCATATCATTTCATATCATATCATATCATACCATACCAGACCATACCACACCACACCACACCACACCACATCACACTATTCCATACCATACTACTCTACACAATGCCATGCCATGCCACACCATACAAAATCATTCCACACCTTACCATACCATACCACATCATATCATACCATACCGTATTGTATTGTATCGTATTGTACCGTACTGTACTGTACTGTACTGTACTGTACTGTACCGTATCATATCATATCATATCATATCATATCATATCATATCATATCTTATCATTCCACACCATACCATACTACTTCATTTCTTTAAAGCACTTCAAAAACAGCAGCAACATGGTCAACCTAAATGATGTACGATATAACAAACAAATACAGGACAAAGGATAAATAACCTAAATCTAAAGAAGTAACCAAAATTTTTAATAAATAGATAGATAAATGAATAAATGCACCATAAGGTCAAAGTTAAAATGTCACACTAGATTGAAGGCAAGGAAATGCAAGATTTACAAACAGCAGGTACGGGAGCCTACCTAACTCAAACCATTTGAGAGTTGTGGACCTACAACAAATAACTATCATCTCTGAGCTGCATTTCATCCTAAGAACTATTAACAAGCATCAGACCTACTGAACTCAGAGAGCACTCTGGTACATTTGGATAGAGCACTTCAGAGATATAAGATAGGGTAGAACCATTAATAGACTTAAAACCGTACTAACTAATCTCAAAATCAATTTGTAAGCAAACTGGAAGCCAGTGAGGGGAAGCCAAAACTGGGGAAATGTGTTTTATTTTGCCTGTACCAGTTAAAAATCAAGCAGCAGCATTTAAAGCAGTTACAAAAGAGCAAAAGAAGCCTGATTATTTCCAAAAGGAAGCGCATTGCAGTAATCAGGTCACGATGTTTTAAAATGATGAATTACTATAATATGTTAAAAAGGCATGTATTACTTCTGAAGATTTATTTTAGACAGGATGTGTCTCATTTTAGACAGTTGCCTCAAGTGAAAAAAGCAAGATTTCTCAATTGCATTTATATAACTGTTTAGTTTATGGACGTATCCATTTACACTTCAGGATAACGCATGTGACAATGTTTTTCTCATGAGGGGCAAGGGATGAAAGGTCAATGTCAGGTTTCCTCAGGTAACATCATGTAGATTTAACACTATCCTTCAATCTAGTACATAAGAGTTAAAATGCCTCCACTATCGTGTGAAGAAATTTTCAAAAGAAAGTTTTGTGGTTCTCCAGCTGAAGTGGAGGACAGACCAGAGTAAAGTAATTAAGGTTCTGTTTGCAAAACTGCAGATCTTTTATCTGCTCTGATTTCAACCTAAATTCTGAAATGCCATTTAACCAAAGTACTCAAAGGATTATGTTTATGTGATTAACTCAGACCTTTAAAAACTGTGTCACAACTAGATTAAATGAAGGAATTAAAACGTTCCAATGAATTTTGCATCTCTGACTGAATCTGTAATCTTGCACTTTGTAGTTAGAGAGTGGTTTGGGAAATAAATGGCTGATTTTGTAAAAAAAAAATGTAATATTACCTTTAATATTATATTCTACTGGTTAAAACATTGTTTTGGCAAAGTTACATACTCATCAAAATGAACTCCAATAGGTTGTCATTACAGCCAGTATGAAGAGCAGTGTTACTTTACTTAAGCTTAGCCTTCATCAGCAGTTTAACAGTTTCAGGCAGGATTTGATGTCATCCTTTCTAAATGATGAGCTCTAGAAGAAGAATAAGATTTGAAAATGGACAACCTGGTCTATATTTATGGGAAAATAATAGCCTTACCAGGCTGAAGTCAGGAGATGACATCCGCAATAAGCATTAAATGTATAAATTCACAAGTTTTTTTTATTCCAATTTTGTATGTCTACTAATTCTAAAGGACCGTGCTTGTGTTGAGAATCATCAGTGTCTTTATCCAGATATCTGCTCTGTCACACTTATCTGAAAGACAACTTTCTGAAAGTTTTATTCTTTGCTCAAATGTGTCTCTGTGAACCCAAACTAAGCTGTTATGTGCTTTTGTCTCCCTGAAAGCTCTTCAAAATAACCATGTATCTGTGTTTTCCTGCCATTAAAAGCATTAAACATTTTTTCTCTGATCATTGACCATCATTGATCTTTTTTTTTTGTAACTTTAACAATTCAGTGGAATTTTTTTCTCTTGTAAATCATACTTTTCACTGCAGAAATATGTGACTTAATTGTTTGGAAATGGCATGTACTGTATAACCCCAACACTGGCTGCAAAAACATGCTTTATTTAAAAATATATATATAATTCTCTTCATGTTTTAAAGCAACAAAAACTGCTAATTTTATTCTCCAGTCATTGTTTGATGGTGAAATGATAAAACGGTCTAATGTTCATTCATGTTCATCCCTCTGTKTTGATTCTTCTCCAGATGGGCGGCACCATGTACAACACAGGGAAGCATGTGGCCCTGCGGCCAGACAGAACTCATCTGGTCAACATCTCTGGAGGCCCTCTGGGTTACAGCTATCGGCTGGAGGAGGTCCGCCTTCACTTCGGGAGTGAAGATGCTCTGGGTTCAGAGCACCTTCTCAACGGACAAGGCTTTCCTGGAGAGGTCAGAAACAAACAAACAAAAAAAAAAAACCACAATTCAATAAAGGCCTAGCATTCCTTAAAGAAATGCATAACACCTGCCACCTTTCATAACACAGACTGACTGACTCTTAGCTACTACTACAATATTAAAACTCTTAAGAATGCTGCTAAGAGTGGACTTAAGTGTAAAAAATCCTTAGTTAAAAGCTGAAAGTAAAAGTCAGTTATCAAACGTCTCAATCTTACTTTAAGCAAAGTGAAGGAGTAATTCTTAAGTGTCAGACTTAGAGCTGATTTGTGACACCTGGCTGTGCTGCAAAGCTGATCCTGGATGACGTTAGAAAAAACACCGACATGGTCCAAACAGAATTGGTCCATGTCGGAGCACCCCCCCGCCCCCCCTTCATCTTTTTTATTTCCTGGGGGTGTTGTAGCATGCACTCACCAGCTGAGTATATTTAATATTTTATCCAAAAGCCACGCATGAATATCTGCCTTTTAGTCCAACATTATGCACAGTTTAATTTTTTTTACTTTATTTGTTTTTTACTTTTCTTTCTTATGTGCAGGTTCTTCTCAAAAAATTAGCATATTGTGATAAAGTTCATTATTTTCTGTAATGTACTGATAAACATTAAACTT